CATGAAAAATAAGTTGTGATAAGGGTTAATCAGGGCTATCTAAGTTCAATTTATAACTAAAATAAGTTCTAATAAGGACTAATAAGTTCAGGTAAATAAAAATCATGTGAATAAAACGCACCATTAATAATAATATAATAAGATTGATAGATATGAAAATAAGACAAGAAGGAGAGTGAAAGAAGTGGTAAGCTTAAGAAGCAAAGTAGGAGTAGTAGTTGTTGTTGTTGTTGGTTTGTGATGGTTTTTGGAGAATGAATGGTGATTAGAGAGATTGCCAGGCTAGCAGCCTTTTTGGACATGATTGGAGGAATGGTGGGCCCTTTTATACCCAATCTACCCTGTCAAGCCACATGCGGACTCGACACCCCATGCTCTCTCTCTTCTGTTTTTGTTTTTCTACTATTTCTAATCACCCTTATTCAAATCCATAATTCGTTTTTAGTCACTTTTTTTTTTTTGTTTGAAAAATTGATATTATTTCGGTCTTTAAAAAAAAGAAGAAAAAAAAAAAAAAAAACGAGTAAGGACCTATTATTTCAGCTTAATTTTAGTTCAGTTTAATTTAGTTCCAATCAGTTTATTGTCATTCAGTTCTGGTCCTAACTTTCTTCTCTTATAAAATATTCATTTCAACTCTATTTAATTCAGTTCAACTCTAATTAGTTTAGTTCAGTTCAGTTCAGTAAATGTGAACAGACATTTACTTGCTACCTTCTCTATTCCAAAATACATATCTTATTTTAATCGGCACATTGCTAATTTAAAATTTGACTAATATGTTAAAGTGGTTAGATTTTCATTATTAGTCTTTGTGGCTGTCTAATTAAACACCAAAAAGATGATATAGGAAAACAATACATTAAGACAATTTCAACAAGTTATGAATAGTACAAAAGTCAATATGGATCATTCAATTCAAATCGAAGAGAAGTATAAACTCGAAAAAATAAGTTTTGAACATTTTTTTTTTTCATTTATGTACTTTTATCACTATTTGTTTAAACCATTGTCGTCACTAATTATATCTTTAACTTCGTGAATTTTATTAACCTTATTTAAATATATATGATTTATTTAATTTGAATTTACCTGAACTTATTTGTTATTAGACATTACTTAAATACTTCATATGTTTTAATTGTTAATTGAACATGAGTAGTCTTACCTTATTAACCTTTATCTCTGCTTACTACTCGTAAAACTTATTTTCTTAAACTTGTTTTTCATTAAATAAGTGGAAATAAGATTAATAGAACAAAGCTTAATTAAGCTTAAATTACAGTATTGAAGTATAAGTGAAGTTAACATAATGTATGGTTGGTGCACCCGGGTGCACCATGCGCATGGTGCACCCGAAAAGAACATAAAATATCTTTAAAAGAACATGGGCAAAAAAAGAACATTATATATATTATAAACTATAAAGAACATGAGCATAATATGTTCTTTAAGTTTGATGATTATGTTCTTTGAGTTTGAACTATATGTTCTTTATATTATACAATATGTTCTTTATATTATACAATATATTCTTTAATGTATGTACATTAAAAAAAAAAGAAAAATCAATCACTCGAGTAACCAGAAAAAAGAACATGTTCTTTAATGTATTATCATGTTCTTTTTGTAAAGACTTTATGTTCTTTGGCTAGAGGTGATCAAAGTTAGAACGGCCCGACCCGATTTTGGACGGGTTTTGGGCAGAATTTTTTCGCTGCCAAAATCAATATGTTCTTTGGCACAATTTTGGACACATAAACTTCGGCCCAAAATTTGGCCCGACCCGAGAAGTGAGCTGATTTTTTAACCTTGGCCCGGCCCACCCAATGATCACCTACATCTTTGTCAAACACGAACATGTTCTTTTTTGTCAAATATAATGTTCTTTTTCAAACACGTTCAACACCTAAATAACCATGAAAAATAACATGTTCTTTTTATAAAGACTTTATGTTCTTTGTAATGTCATGTTCTTGTCAAACACAAACATGTTCTTTTATCAAACATAGGTATGTTTTTTTTCTAACACTAGCATGTTTTTTTTTTTGCCCATGTTCTTTAAAATATGTCTAATGTTCTTTCCGGGTGCACCATGCGCATGGTGCACCCGGGTGCACTATACTATTTTCAGCGAAGTTAACATAAATATTTGTTGAAAATAATATAAAAGTGAGTCCAATTTCCTAAAAAGAAATAGTCGAAAAATAGAAAGAGTTTAATTTTCCTTTTAGGTGAAAACCTCTAAACATAAGTACACCTATTAAATATTTCCCTTTTTATTACTACTATAGTCTACTACCCACCCCCTATATACCAACATCGTCAGCTACAACTATTAATTTTTTGCTCATTGTATATTGTTATATTTATGCATTCAACTAATTATTAATGATAATAATATGATGATTGAAAATTGAAATACTCTTTTTGTCCTCGTATGATTTAATAGGTGTACCATAATGGGATGTTGATAGAAATTGTCATTTTTCTTGTCATTTTTAACCATAAATACAATGACATACTCATAATTTTTCCATCTGTTTTTAAAAATCCTCCATTTTAATCGACACCGAATTTTAGAAAGCTAAAATTGTTGTGGAGTATATATCAATATATGTACAACCTGTTGGGAATTAATTCAAAGTAAAGGAGAAATGTGATAGAAAAAAATGGGTGGGAAATATGAGGAGATAAATATAAAAAAAGTAAATTATTAATTGAGTTTTTTAAAATTCATCTTAATTTTTAGTTTTTATGATTTTTTCAATGTGTAACTTGAGGTTTTTTAATTATAAAATAAATTGCATTAAAACTGCATAGATACCAAGTGGGACAAACAATTTTTTTTTTTTGAATAGCAAAAATATTTCATTAATTAGAAGTCATACAACATCTACAATAGAGATTTAACGTTAACAAATACATAAGATATTGAATCAAATAAAATTTTCCTTCATAAAAACTACGATCGTCGAGTAGGTCTTGCACTGTGGAGCATCTCAAGTGGGACAAACATTTAAACATATGGAGTAAAATTTTTTCATCCCATCCAAGAGCATGAACTGAATATTTTATGAGAAAAGAAAATTAAAAACTGAACTGAAGTGAAAATAACCTGAAGAGAACATGCCCTAAGCCTACCTAGTCTCAAAACAACTTTGAACCACTTGAAAAACCACACCACCTAGCCTTAAAACCACATCACATAAAAATGGCAATGAATAATGAGGGAGGAAAGGAAAGTCATGGTGATGGAGAAAAAGAAGTCGTTTCAATTAGCTTATTCAATATCTTACGGTGAAATGACACTTATTGGTCATTTCGCATGCTCAAACAACTTTAATTAATCAACTATTTACTACTTTAATACAAATCAGTTTATAAAATAAGTTAGTCAAAACAATTAACATAACCAGCTAATCAAAATCAGCTAACACAATCAGCCTCAGCTTTTCACCAAACAAAGCCAGTGAGAGCTAGAGAAAATTCAATGCCAAAGACGTAAATCAAAGGTCATGATTCGTCTTAAGGTTGTGTTTGGCAAAAAAAAAAAGAAAAAAAAAAAGGTGTTTTCTTTATTTTTTTAAAAGGTGGTTTCTAATCAACAAGAACCCTCTTCGGATACTAATAAATTTTCCTAAAATAAATATTCACGTGGTAGTTAAAATAGAGTTTGTGAATAGTGATAACAGTCAAAATGTGTAATCTAATTTGGATTGAAAGAAATACGAAATATATATTGTCAATTGTTTAAGGTATTTCAAATTTTGGTATTCAGATTTTCATTCATAGAATTTTATTGAAATTTGTTAAGTCGGCAATGATAAAATGTATAATTCAACTTTGTAGTTAATATTAAAATATATTTTTTTTTTATTTTTTATAAGTTGATAAAAGATTTAAAACCCTAATAATAATAGAGGATATGATAACAAATTAAATAAATACTTAGTCCACTACAACACTACCCTCAATAGCAAACAATTATTTATCTAGCGCTTTTACATTGACAAACAACTTAATTACAACTAACTAGTCAAAATAACTAATGCAAACAACTAGTTAAAATAACTAATAACTAAAGCTAATTGTCAAACAAGACATATAAAAGTATACTCCGTATGTTACAAGAGTATTAAATCATTCTTATAATGCAATTTATTTGCCGCTAACCTTATACTAAGTTTCTAGGCACATATATATGCAATAAGGGTCTGTTTTGATTTATTGAACAGAACTGAGCTGAACTGAATTGTTTAGGAGAAAAGGAAATTAGCAGCTGAACGAACTGAATTGAACTAAATTGAAGAGAAAATGCCCTAAGATCCAACCAGAAGTTGACTTCATCAAAGATTTACTTTGCACGGGCACAATACTTTAAGATAACTCAAACATGACTAGTTTCAACTGGAACCAAAACCCAATTTGACACCTTGTATCTTCATAGGGATGAATCACATAATGAAAAGGAGAGTTGAGCTCGCTTCACACGAAATGTTCTCCTTACTACTCATATTAATTTTTTATTGGAAAATTACTCATGCTACATCAACCTTGATAATTATAAAAAATATGGAGTACATTTAACACGAACAAAACTTTTTCTCTGATTTCACACTCCACTCAGTCTTACTTTGCATGAAAGAAGAGAAAAAGCGGGAGAAGGAATGGCGGGGGAGAGGGGGTCGTTACAAAAATTTTTGTCGGTCATAAACGTCTTTTTAAATTCAGGAAAACCCAAACATAGAACGCAATTAATACTATTAATTAGCATTCGAGTAATTATTAACATCATTTATTCCCTACATTGACATTTACCCTAATTATTAACCCTAATGCAAGCTTAGTTTCCAAACTCAATTCATTTGGAGGGTCTACAAGTACAAATTCTTTGTTATTTTTCAAAGATTTCATGCTCATACACATGCAATTGAGAGCTGGCATTCCTTGTTTAAAAAATAAGCTATAGTCCTTATTAATTTGCATTATTTATTTATTTATTTATTTATTTTCCTTTTCAAGTGAATTTCTTTTCTTACTTTCTCTCTCCCCCTCTTCTTCTTCTTCCTCTTCTTCTTCATCTGTCACTCTTGATGCCCCCATTGATTATTTTGTCGTTTACATAATCAACACTACTTATCAACCATAATCATAGAGGGGCAAAAAAAGGGTAATAAGAAAAATATATAAAGTTTTAATCTTTATTATTTTTTTACAAAAATGGGCCATTTTTATAGTAAATAAAAATTAAATCTTTATTTTTTTTGAGGGTTTTTTTCTTGTTGTTGTGAAGCAAGATTTTTATTGTAGCTGTTGTTAGGTCATTGGTTGTGTTGTGCGTCTATTGTTGTTTTTTTTAGGAAGACTGTTTCTCTCTCTAATTTTTCTCTTTCTACCGATTTTCTCTCTCCTCTCCATTGCACAAAATTTGCAGAAGCTGTGTCACTACTCCATGAAGATGCTAGTAAGTATGTTTTTTTCTTTTGTGGGGTGATTGGAAATTTCTTCCCCTTCCCACAAAATTTTTGCTTTTAATTGGGTTTTAGAATGCTGATCAGCAGATTTCGTGATCTGGGTATTTCTTGCATTGGATTGATGACATTGATTGAATTGTGAGTTGAATAGATGAGATCTTTAATTTTATGTGATTCAATTTTGAATTTTTGCAATTTTTTTGAGATTTGTTCTGTTTTTTTGTTCAGTAAATTTGTAATTGGAATTTCTGTTGTTTTTTTTTGCTGTTTTCTTGTTAATGGTCTCAGTTGATTGCTGTCTGTTTGTTTGTTTTTTTAGGGATTTATTTCGATTTATTTGGTAATTTTGCGGGGTTCAAATGACCATTTGGATCAGTTTCTTTGTACTTTGTTTTGTGTTTAAGTAGTAACAGTATTTTAAGCTGCTGAATTTGGTAAATGAGTGTTATTTTTTCTTGGTTTTTCTGACAGTCTGGGAAATTCATGAGGCAGACTTGGTCAAACTCGATTTGCTGAAACTGTTAATTCATTAATTTCATTAGTCGTTCTGTCTTTGCTCTTTAAATGAAGTTTTACTGGATTTTCGAGTTTGGATGCTTTGGTTACTGGTCTGCATTATGCAATTGGTTCTGTTTTTGAGGGTTGATTCCTGTAATTCTATATGATAGTGATTGTAAGTTGGTTTAATTAACATTTTATCATTTTTTCTGTTCCTTTATAGGTGGCATTGCTTCTGCTATCGGCGCTTAGCAATGCAATTGTAGTACTCGGTAATGATAGCAAAGAACAATGCAGCCACAAGCCCAAATTGGACCCTAGACCTCACAGTGTATCCATTGTCGAGTTTGGCGCTGTTGGAGATGGAAAAACATTGAATACGGGAGCGTTTCAAAATGCCATTTTCTATCTCAACTCTTTTGCTGATAAGGGTGGCGCACAATTATATGTGCCACCAGGGAAGTGGCTCACCGGGAGTTTCAATCTTACTAGCCACCTCACTCTTTTCTTAGAGAAGGATGCTATTATCCTTGGATCACAGGTTTAGTTGCTTTGCTGAGCTATAGTACTCTTATGTGTTGTATATATATACTTTGCTCACTTTGCATTTATTCTACAAAGTACATTGGTTTTGTTGATAGGATTAGAATAGGAATTACTTAGCTTAGGTTGCATTCATTATATCTTTGAGTTATTGAAATCATATCCTTGAATAAGAACAATTTTTCAAAATACTTTCAAATAAACAAGTAATTTTGTATAATAGTGTTATTATTTAACAAAACTAATTCCAAGGGGTATCTAGCTATTAAGATATATTGGTTGATTGAGATTGTTAAGTAGAACTACCTTAATAATTGCTAACAATATGATGAAAGATGGTTTAATATTGTGTAAATTCAATGTGTGCAGAATCCAGATCATTGGGGAGTAACTGATCCATTGCCATCATATGGTCGTGGAATAGATGTTCCGGGAAGTAGATATCGAAGTTTAATAAACGGATATAATTTATCTGATGTAGTAATTACCGGTAAGTTGTATTTGATTACATATTTATATTACTAAATTTGATTACACATTTTTTTATTACTCTTTTGACTATAATATGTATTTAATTAACTTTAATTTATTAGGTAATGATGGAACTATTGATGGTCAAGGATCGTATTGGTGGGATAGTTTTCTCACTCATACATTAAATCATAGTCGCCCTAATCTGGTGGAGATTGTGGAATCCGTTGGGGTTGTAGTTTCAAACTTAACATTTTTAAATGCACCAGCCTACACCATTCATCCGGTTTACTGCAGGTAAAAATCTAAATTCTTGCTTTACAAATGTTTGTTTGAATTTTTGTTTTTGCTTATCATTATTTTTATTGAATGCAGTCATGTACTCGTACAAAATATATCAGCTTATTCACCACCTTCATCACCTTATACAATTGGTATTGTGCCAGGTTAGAATCTATTTCTTATATGGTATTATATGACAGTATAATAAATTGTTATGTTTGATTTATCCTTGTATCCAAATGCTAACATGTATAAAGGTTGATATTAAAAGTAATCCACTAAAATAGCAGATAAACAAAGACCCCTATTGTGACAATTGGATACATATTAGTTATATTCTAAACATGGCTTTGCCTAAGCTTTATGTAGAAATTGGATGGCTAGACAAGTGAGCCACTTTGTGACTATATGGGGCAATCTTAATTGTGTAATTGACTCAGACCGCTCAGTTATCGTATAAAGCATGTTTAATGCGTGACTATGATTTTGAATATGTCATTGTCCTTGACATAAGGACATTTGTATTGTGCATTTTCCTATGCCTTGCTAGCATTGTGGTGCAACATGACACAACACAACATCTTGCTAACCTTACCAGGTTTTGCTACATCTAAAGTTTTAAGGAAAGCATGTACTTGCAGGCCTTTTTTTCAATTTTTTTTTTAAACTGCTTGAAAGGGTTTGCTTGGCTTTGTTTGTTTGCTCATCTACTTGGATAGGATGCTAACCTAACATACTTCGTGAGAAATATGTTTGCTTGTTTAGATTGTTTCAATTTATTTGAGCTTCATCCAGCTAGTGTCGCTTCTTTCAAAGATAGATGTTTAATTTTGTATACTTTTTCGATTGCATAGGAGATTTTTCCATTAGATCTTCAACTTAGCACAAGCTGACTAACCACCTCCTTTGTAACAGTCAACTCAAACTCTTTGTTTAATCCATTATAACTCATTTAAGAAACTGCTGTCTACTGTGTGTACTCATGCTTAATTGAAATGAGCAAACGCACTGTGGCAAAAGGATACAATGAGTTCATGAAACTTTCGGCTCCACTGAAAGGGCCTGTAAGCAAGAAATCCAAGTTAAATCCTTATTGCCTTTGAATTTGTGCATTAATCTTGTTCCTGAAGCCAGATATTGAGGTTTAGTGGATTATTCATAGTTCTGGTGTATGTGCAGATTTACGTAGGAGTCACTGGGGTCTCACTGTAGAGATCTCATCAATTTTCTTCTAGTACGTCTTTGTAAATCTGTTTGTACTTGTCTGAAATGTCCTGATAGATAATAATGATTTGCTATTATGAAAGGTAATGAACTGTCATTATCATCATCACACTATCGAAAGCCAGTGTTGATCTGCAACCCCCAAACCCCAACCGCACTTTCAGTTATTTGCCTTCTCATATAATCTTGCTGCATATTCTGAGTTATCCTTGTTTTGAAATTGTATTTTCAGATTCTTCAGATCACATGTGTATTGAAAATTGTAACATAAGCATGGGTTATGATGCCATCACTCTCAAAAGCGGCTGGGACGAGCATGGTATAAAATATAATAGGCCGACGACTTGTGTGCATATCAAACAAGTCAACCTTCAAGCATCAACAGGTTCTGCCGTGGCATTTGGCAGTGAGATGTCTGGTGGAATTTCTCATGTTCTAGCTGAACATCTGGACATTAAAAACTCATTCACAGGTATCGTCTTCAGAACTGCACCAGGACGAGGGGGATACATAAAGAACATAGAAGTGTCATCTGTTGAAATGGAAAATATTCACACAGCATTTATTGCAAGCGGTCAATATGAATCTCACCCCGATGAAGAATATGACCCAAGTGCCCTGCCCATTTTGGAGCAAATTACAATCAATAATGTTGTCGGGGTAAATATTACAGTAGCTGGTAGCTTCACTGGTATTGAAAATACTCCTTTTGAGTTTACTTTGTCAGAAATCTCCTTATCCTTGAATTCAGCTTCAACCTCAACTTCAGCTTGGGTGTGTTCCGATGTTGTTGGATCTTCCAAGAGTGTCTCTCCCGAGCCTTGCCCTGAACTCAAGAGCTCTTCCGATTCAAATTCTCTCTCTTCCTCCATTACCACCTTAAGTTCCAAAGGATCGGCCTCATATTTATAATCATCCCTGCTCGGCGCAGGGAAAAGGGAAAGAGTTGGGATTCTTCTATCTTCATCATTGCTTCTTCACAAGCACCAATAGCATAGATTCTTTCCAATAAGTTCAAAAGTATATTTTCATTTCATTATTCATCTTGTTGCATTCTTGCATTTTTACTCATAAAAAAAAAAAAACAAAAAAAAACAAAATCTGCATATTAGTGTACAGCTTCATTTCTTCATTCTTGTGTAAGCAAATTTTTGGTAGTGGTGACAGAAAGTATCAAGAAAAAAGTGCAATGCTGTGTATTTTACATTAATATTTACATGTTAATGTTCTTTTTGTTTTTATTTTCTTTTTCTTTTTCTTTCTCTTTATTTTTCTTTTTTCTTTTTGGCATTTATTTGTAATTATCATTAAACTCATGACTGTTTGTAAATCATCTTTCATGATGTTAGGTGATACAGAGCTGTTAATGTTTAGTGAAACAGACTATTATATATTTTTTTAAAATTTATATAATTATTATTTATATTCAAATTATTAGCACTAATAAATACTATTGAATGTTTTTGAGTTGTCAGATTTGGCTTTTTCTAAGTGTGTTGTCTGACTTTTAAACAATGAGCTTTTTCTTGTTGTCTCCATTAAAAAGTGCATTAATTTTGAACATAATATTCTGTTGTTGTTGTTGTTGTTGTTGTTGTTCCTAGTTTAGTGGAATCCCAGGTAATCTTATGTTTCCCCTTTGTGAATTGGTGTCATTGTACTGCAGAATCATTACTTAACCTTTTTCATATTCTCATGCCTTCCATTTTATCTCTCTATTTCAACCTTTGTCCTTAAAAGGTACTGTATGTTTCATTCACAAGATAAAGAAGGAAGATAGGATTTACGGTTTTTTCATGGGATATCCTTCAACTTTTGTATAATATAATCCACATCGTGTTTTTTTTAACATTTTATTTTGCACAAATGTGTGAAAAAACTAACAAATACTCGTAGTTTAATCAACTAATTATTTTACCACATTAGTTGCTCAATTTGATTAGAGATTAGGGTGTATGGTGCATTAAATCTGATAGAAAAGAACAAATCTCGCGAATTTCACCAAATTAGCTAATTATTCGACCACATCAACCTCAGAATGATATTTGAATTTATGACTACTACAAATATTTTATTATTGCAAATCTAACCATGTATCTGAATTTGAAAATATGGAGATTTATATTTGGAGTCAATATTCAAATTATTTAAAAATGTGAATAATTATTGTGGGGAGGGTGCATTATATTCCTCACCTAACTAACGGTGATCTACAGTTGGACCACTAGGGGGCTGAGAGCCGTCTATCACCAATCATGGAACCACTCGCATAAATTTATTTCAATCTAACATTGTTTCATTTTTTTGTCACATGGGTTTAGATTTATTTTCACAGCATTATCAATTTAAGGGTCTGTTCAGTTCAGCTCAGCTTAATTTCAGTTCAGTTCAGTGCAGTTTTAATCAATTCAATTTATTTCATTTCAGCTCAATTTAATAATGTGAACATACCCTAAGTTTAACCGCAATAAAAAAGTGCAATTATTAAAAATAAACTAATCAAGTACGGAGTACTACACCATATATACTACGTATACTATTTTGATTGTAAGAAAATTCAGAAGAATAATGATATAGACGAGATTTGATCTCATATTTTAAATACCACACCCAAGACTTAACCAACCAACTTAATTGAAGTATGTAGTACACTAGTCTATCGGGATCGAAATAGTTAGCTTCTTGTATTGAGTAAATGATTGTTGAAGCAGGAAAGACATCTATATACTACGTATATGAGTTGGTGATGATACTAACAATGTATTCTACATACGTAACTTGTAATAAAAGTTTTTTTTTTTTTTTTTTTTTTTTTTTTTTTTTTTTTTTTGAACGGGATAAAAGTAGTCTAAAACAAATCATTAGATTCCAAGCTAACAATATGTGATATTAAAACTTATAAATAGAGTAGACGACAACAAATGTATACTTAAGAGGTGTGATTACGTAAACGTGAATCTTGGTTAATAACTTTCCAAGAGAATTATAGCCTATTTTTACAGAATCATATAAATATGTATTGTTTTTCAAAAGCATTAAGTTGATCCAATTGCCTTTTAATTAATGTATTTTGTGATCCATTAACATTAGCATAATATTGTTATTCATTCTAGTGCTATATTTTTATTATAGGATATCATAATGAATTAACGATTAATAAAAGTAACTAGTTCGAATCCTAATTAATCAAAGCTAACTTAAAATCTTCAAAAGCTTTTGAAATATTAGATTACAAATGTATAACATTAGCATAATATTGTTATTCTTTTACTTTTATTTTTTTGAGGGAATTATATACTAATATTCATTATGTTTCAAAAAAAAAAAAAAAAACATTCATATTTGATAAAGAAACAAATACTAATTATTATACAAAAATCAAGATATAAACTGTACACTATGTCACTATATATTAGTAGATGTTCAATTTTCCATAATTACTTGATCTTTTCAACTCATCTGGCATGATGAATAAGTCAACAAATAGATTGAGTGAATTTTTGGACATTTTACTTGATAATACGAGTACTAATAAATAATAATGTTTTAATGATTCTTAGAATCTCATCTCGATTTTTGGTCGGGAATCATTCAATGAACACAATCTACAATGACCCATGAACATGAAGCATGACTTTATAATAAAGCTAAGTTGTCTTTGCATGGACCATCTTAGAATGGCTCTAATATGAGTTTAAGTTAATGTTATCCTTTGATTCATTTAAATGATTAGTTTTAAAAGAGTGACAAACTCTAAGGGTATGTTCTCATTGGCTGAACACGGCTGAACAAAACTGAACTAATTAGAGCTGAACTAAACTGAACTGAATATTATATAAGAGAAGGAAATTAGGAGCTGAACTGAACTGAACTTATTAGAGCTGAACTGAAAATAATCATATGAGAACAGGCCCTAAGTATTAAAACATCAAGTTTATCACATGAAACTTATGCAAAAGCAAATCTAGTTGTATTGAAATTTTATGTACGTAGTAGTTTTTAATAGGATATAAAACATATTTTGAGCTTCGAACATTGGCTGAATTGATCCTTTAACATGGTATCAAAAGTTATGAGTTCAAATCTCATCCACTCCCAAGTTTCAAATGAAATATTTCGCACATTATAAGCAAAGGGCCCATGCTTCATCCACATTTCTGTAATAGAATATAAAACATATTCTTAGGCTTCAAACATTAGCTTAATCTTTTGGTTGAATTAGTCCTTTAATAGTTTTAAATTTGAAGATTGATGGGAGAAGTTAAGGAAGAAGAGTCCTAGCTCCCGGTAGATATATATATTTCCACAAAAACCGTCTTATAGATACCACGGAAAATATTAAAATATGAAAAGAGGGGATGATATATGCGTGTATAATAAGACTAGGTATAAATAGTACTCAAGGTAACAATCAGGGCATAGTCCGAGCCGAGCGGCCGAGCCACATAAATTTATTATACAAACCTTCTAAAAGTTAAAACATATACGAAGTACTGCTGAAAATTTCGAAGCACCAGCCAAAACAGGCTAGGGCTAAAGGGGAATCCGTATATAAGCAAGGAGTACACGACACATAACTAAGGGGATTAGTAAAATTATACAAGCCATCTGAATTTAAAGATAAAACAACCACTGCACTGCAGGTTTCAAAGCACCCAAACACTCATACAATGGCAAGAATCAACAAAGAACCTGAGTGCATCAATTTACCAACTTTCGAATAATCCTGGACCAAAGAAGACAGGTTCACCAGTATTTGTTTCTATGGAAAAGAATGAGAGGAGGGTATGCTCGCATAAGGATCACTAAACGCAACAATATTTCCTTGGCGCGAGAAAACAATCTGCATCAATAAATGGAGATCTCCAGTTATTTCATCACGTCTACTTATAACAGATCAGAGTAAAGCTAGTAAGCGTCTCTGATATACACACACACACACATTCACTTAGTCACATATTAACTGTTTCATTTCTTGTTTTGTGCTGTACTTAGATTATTGTGTTTAACCAAGAACTATTATTTACACACGAGACAAATTCCTATGCTAACAAGACATTTAAGAGAGGTATGAAAATTTTCAGCGAGAATTACCTGGTAATCCCCAAGAGTTCGGGTCTTAAACATGGATGCCATATAGTCAAAGTAGTATTCCCATGCTCGGATGAACTTCTCATCAAATCCAAGTGGATTTTGCTAGAAGAATATGAAAAACAGTACAGAATTTTTTTTTAGCAGAGAACAGTCAATCCAAAGTAGACTACCTATATGAAGTTTCCAGAACTATATTTAAAACGTAGTCTATGTTGTAATTAAAAAGCAAATGCAGCATTAGTATTTGGTTTTAGGTAGCAGCAGGTAGGTCACAACCAGTGTGATTGACCCGGGTGCAGCGAGTACACAAGGAATGTTAGGTTGTCACCTTGAAGCGGAGCACCACATATATAGCATTGGCACAACGTATAAAATAATAGTATCCACGGAAAGTTAAGAGAATTTTCAGGTGGTTTACTTGACGGTCAGATTTAGAGACTTCTTAGTTTCCTTTTAGAATAGTGAATGCAGCTTCAATGCAAAATGGGGTAACATATTACAAAAGATGCAGTGAATATTCCTTGAATAATATGAAGATGAAATGCATCTGTGGTGAATAATATGGAAACAAGTCTAACCTCTGATTTTCCAGAAAATTTTTCCTCCAGCATCTGAGTGTTTGTCCATAATGCACCCCGATATTCTCCACATGTTCCACGCTGCAAAATGGAGCAGTTGATTATATCCAGAAGATAGATATCATTGGCTATCAAAAATATAAACAGCTACCTTTAAACAATTAATCAATGATGTTGCACTTACCAAAGGCTAGATGTAGCAATCATTGCTGATGTTAATCGGCTCAGAGAAGGAAGGCATCCTCCTGGGAAAATGTATTCTCTCATGAAATCTGAGCTTCTTTTATGCCCATCATATCTTTCATCTGGTATAGATATGGTCTGAAGATCGAAGAAGCGATTAGAGCATAACTCAGCCGACAGGATATAATTATAAGCATGGCCAAAATCTTTTATATTTTGACACTACTTATACCCTAGAGATGATGCAAGTCTCATATGTTCCAATAAATATATGTTTCTGCCTGATTAGATCTCCTACCAAACCCAACTTCACCACAATTTTTACAGCGATGAGCAATGAATTGTGAACCTTACTTCACACGAATAATCAGCCAAATTAAACGGTG